GCACAAGGTCCTCCCCACAAGACCTGCAGCGAGTGCCAATCAGTACTGTGAGCTCAAGTGGGTCTTGAACTCATAACCTTCTGAACCAAAGGCGAGAGTGCTTCCAACTGAGCCAAGCTGACATATTATTGCAATTTATTTCACTGCAGTAATTGTCAGCAAAACTTTCAGACGTTCAGGGTCAGTTGAAATAAAATTCGGAGTGACTTTTATCTGAGTTGGTTAACAGAGAGAAAACCCTACTTGAATTGTCTCTTTGCACCATTTTTGTCCGGTTTTGTTCCACTCCAGTAATGTGTTCATTTGGAAGTGATTCTCAGACGCTCTCTACAAGCCAACCCTCTGCGGTTGTTATCTTCTTCCAGTTTTCAGCTCAAGCTGTACGGCTGTATGTACATCCTAGCACTATAATTACCTGTCAGTCATGTCCATGTGAATCTTGGAAACTTAATTTGTTGTAGCGCTGTGTAGCATCTGCTTTTAAATTGCTCCAATAATGAAGGTATCCAACAAAGACTTAAATCAAAAAGGCTCAGGAATGTGTTTCTTAATGATTTCTCTTCCCACTCCTCCTCCTCCCCCCACCCACTCCCTTGTTTAAAAATATCGGTACTTTTCCCAGACAGTTAGAAGCTGAAATTCCACTTTGAGAATCAGTGGGGATGTCTTGAATTCAGAGCATTAGGTAGAGGCTGACTAAATTAACACTGAGGTGCAAAAAATATTCTTTATAAGAAAGCTACTAAAACTGGAATTCCCACTGGATTTTATTTTGCGTTTTGATATGCTTCAGTTGGAATCTGTATGTAATCAGGTTCTGTGAAGATTAGAACATCAGCAGATGTGTGTATTTCACACACAAGCATTGATTTAGACTAATGAAGTTGTTTAAAGGATATCTGACACCCATCTTCAAAGAGATGGCCTTTAGATCAAAGGCTTAGTCAGCTTACAAGTAGACAGTAGCATAACTCTTTAATTCTGAAGAAGCTTTCAACATTTGTGAGAACTCTGTATAAACAGTCACACTTTCATATTTATGTGAAGGAAATCACCAAGACATCTAACAAAGGCGCTTGAAGTCTTTGCTGAGCAAATTTACTGGGCCTTCCTGAATTCCCATGCATAGTTGTGTGTCTATATCAAAATAACTGAGGTCATTACCTACTGTGCTTGTAAAAGACTGTAAGAACTCAGTTACTCATTTAGTATGAACTTGCCGCTCGTATTAGAACCTTGTTTAATCTGGCAAATAAATGTAATTAGTGTTAGTCTATAAATTCGTGTTCTGCTGGTATTCTGCTGGTATTTTCGTTCTGAAGCAGATTGGCAATAATAATTTATCTGAATCCAACAGCAATACGTACACTGCAAGCGTTGAGATAGGTTTAGAGTTTCTACTGTACTGATAACTAGGAAAACATTCAGCCCAGGTTTGAATCGTCCTTACAGCGACTTATGACTTAGTCTTATTTGCAACTTTGCCAAATTACATACTTATTCATGTGGAGAATTTTTTTTTGAGGAAGGAAAGCCTCGCCCCAACCAAGCACAATAATACAACTAGACTATTGTCACAGCAAAAGGACGTTAAGACTAAACTAAATCGAAAATCCTTTTCATTAACTTGAGTGCTTGATCATTAATAACACACTACTGTAATACAGAGCTGTTTTATCTATGAAACTTAGGTCAATGAATCTCAAAAGATCAATGCGATGAAAAATATAATTTGAAGAACAGCATCTGATGAATTCCTGCACTGAGCATAGAAACATCTTAGCGGCATAGATACGGAGCTGGTTTGCATAGCATTCAATGGTAAATACAGATTGCACATGCTGGTAACATCTGCTTTGCCTTGTGTGGTTTACTAACTACAGCTAAGGTTGAAGATCCTAGTAATTTGATGTTTGTTGTTTTACTTCTTAGTCTGTCTGAACAATCACTCCATTAGAAACATTCTGGACACCCCCTTTAAAGAAAACAGCAGTGAGGACCATTTTAAGTCAAGCCCTTGTGCTTCCTTGCTTGGTATCCGTGCTGGAAAAAATAACAGCTACAGTTTCCCTCACAGTCCTATTTTCTTATAGCAATACATTTCTGGAATTTGCAGATCATCCTTGCACAGGAGTTTCTCTGAATGATTCCAAAAAGGAAGGTCTTCAGGTGCGATCTGAAGATGGGGAAGGAGGGGGCAAGGAGGAGGGATAGAGGAAGAGTGTTCCAAAGTGTTGGGGCATAGTGGCTGAAAGCACGGCCACTGATGTAACTAAAAGTAAAATAACTGCAGAGATAATAAAAATGACAACAAATGAATATTTCAGTGTAAAAATGAGAACACAATACTCCTGCCAGTTACTAAGAATAACCCAGGTCTTTATCAACACAGAAAAATGCAGACTATTGGGAATTTAATTCCCCGATCCCATATAGCCGGTGGCCTTTTATTCTTTCCAAATAAACTTCACAGCATGAATACGTCTGAATGAAACATGAAGGTAAGAGGGCTTCTGTTTCACTAGGCTCATGCTCTTTGCTGTAATCAGTGTAAATAGAATATGTGAAAAGTACTGGAGTGATATTTAAGATTCATGGTATCCGCTGAGAATACAGAGGTGACATGTCATTCCTTAGAAGTATGAAATTGCTTCTGGACCAGAATAACTTTGCTTTTCCCAGATGACCAAATCAAATGATCAAATGTAAATATAAATTTGGGATAGCTTAGTCACATTTGATGCAGATATACGACAATCTGCAAATACAGTTTATCCATGTACAGGGCAAATGCACTCAAAGCAACCCCAGCACAAAGTATTATACTATAACTGAAAATACATTTTACATTTGGCTTACTGGGAACCAGTTCAACAAAGCACATTGACCCAAGCCTGATTGAACACCTTCTCACATTGATATTCGGTGTTATATTTTACAGAGGGACTTCTTATAGCTGTTAAGCAACCATTCAAGGTGACAATGTCTGGAATAAGTTTACAATTCCCCAAAGCTATTTTTGGACAAGGCAAATCTCTTGCATTCTGAAACTGCCCCATTCTATACAGATCACCAGCAAATCCAATATAAAGCATTTGATTGAGAGTTGAAGCATCATCAATGCACAATCTAAGATTTAAAGACCTACATTTTTTTTAAAAAAAGCATGTTTCTCTACTGCATCTGAAGGCAGAGAAAATATTTTGCATCTTTCTTATAAGCAAACAGATTGGATTTTGTGATAATCAGTAGGTGAGATGAAAATCATAAGCAATTGCTGGACCTATGCAAATATACATCAATAATGCAAATCCTTGATTTCCGAAGTAGGCAGTCAACATTAGTGTTAACCTGCAAAGGACAAAATTGTCAGTGCAGGACTGACATTAGGAAAAATAGTTAAGTTGACTGCAATATAATGATTACAAAATACCAAATCATGGTTATCAAGAATGTAACCAAAGGCTTGATAAGCATTGCTCAGATGTATGGAAAGAGAATACAACAAGAAGCAGTTGACGCAAATCAGGTTGTTGTTGTGAGGAGCAATCAGTGTAGCGATTTATATTCCTTTCGATTAGCATTCATGAAACTGATCTTCGTTTTGAACAAACAAACCTAGTTTGTCGACAGGACACGTTTACATTTGAAGTAAAAAGCATGGTTATATTTATGAATCACCAGGGAAATAAAATCAGCAGATGAAAATACAGACATCAAATTATTCTAGCTTTGAAAGGTCAAGAAACACAGCCAATCTTTCCCAAGGACTCGAGGACTGACATTTCTCTCATGATAATTGTTTAACTACATGATTAGGAAGTCATGCACATCAGTTGAGAATTCTAAAATAGGAGTTAGATTTTTGAGCCTTTACACATCAATTCTATCTATATATAAACACGTTCTTTCATGAATCTGGAATTTAGGTACAATTTGCAAAATGCCTAAATTGCAAATGCGACTATAAAAGTATAATTATTCAATAACTGATGTAAATACATTTTAAATGAATTTTTAGACCAGTAAATTATTCCAATTAATTACCTTAGCTGCAGTTAAGCCACAAATGGGTTGTTAAATAAAAACGAATGCTTTTACCTGCCAATAGATGGAAAGTAATGCTTTTACTTAAAAAAGCTGCTTCATTTGTTCCTTGGTTTACACAATTAGTGCAACAGCTACTGATGAATTCCCATGATACTATCAAAGCGGATCTTCCCTCCAGATGTTGGTTTAGTTGAATTAATATACAGATGGACTACAGGTTACCTCGTGGCACTGCTGTAGAACGTGTGGGAGCAGAGACAATTCCTGCTGTGAGGCATCCCAATGGGAGTAAGAGCAGCTGCAAAAGGATACTGGAGATTAAGGGTTGTTCAAAGAAAACAAGCTGGAACAGTGGAGTGATGGGAAGTTGACTCAGAGAGAACCAGCTGCCTGCCCATCAATGATCGTAAAGGAAATACTTTCATTTTTTTCTCATTTCGATTGCTTCAAAGTGGATATCAGAATCACTTTTGTACAAGTGTACCGTGCAGCTGATTGATAGTCCGAATGATATTCTGATACAATATTAGGTGTTGCGGCAATGAAGGGGAGAAGGGACAAATGTTTTCAAGAGTGGCAATGAATGTTGCACTGGTACCTACTGAATGAAGGTTAGACCTGTTATGGCACAAGTCTGAGGATTTTGTGGGTCTGATGAAGTGAATGAGAATCACACTGTCCCTTTATAATGGTATGATCACGCTACTCCCCATGACGTGACTGTGATATCTTTGCTGTTATTAGAAACTGAACATATGGGCAGTGTACAACAAACGTCTGGTTTAAAGATTTTAAATAACCCACATTGGCATAGGTACAGTGCAAACTCCAACCAAATGCACAGAACGGTGCTGCTTCCTGCACGCAAATTATAAAACAAATCCTGGATGGTGGTAGAAGAGAAAGTTGTACAAAGCAGACAAACGCCTGAAAGCAATATATTTTCTTTTGGAATGCTTTAATAACTGGTGTTTAATTGAGAACATCCTATTGAATGAAAGTAAGGGAAATGTACAATTATATCCCGGTCATACAGTTGTAATAGAACTATCCAAAACACCCCTTTCAGTCCCCAAATAGAAGCAGTTTTAAACAGAAATACCCATAATGGATCAAGCATTCCAAACTAAACCTACATTGTGTTTTGTCCCATTAAAGTCCACTACAGATTTATTTTTACATTCCTAATAGCCCACTGGATATAAACCATAATCTGTAACCATGTAATATTTTTTTGGCAGCTCTTTAAAGAAAATGCAACTTGATTCAGTCTCTAACAATTACTAAATGTATGTTCAGTGCCACTGGACATCCACAAAAGCAGAAGTAAATCTCCAATCACCTTCCAAATAAGCACTTGTTTAGGTTTGTGGCACATCCGCATGCTATAGTAATGGAAATTCTATTCACTTATGTCCCAGAGTTGGCCCTTTTGTATAAAAAGCATTATTAAAGAACAAAGTAAGGCTAGTATGATATGACTCTGACTTTATATTAGTGTCCCAGGTGTTTGCTACCGTCAGAATTGAGGTTTTAAGTTAGTAAAAGCTAGTTTTAAAATAGTGGCAATAGCTTTACAAAGAGAGAGAAAAAAAATTCAACTATAGAGGACAATATTCTTCTTCAACGTTTTCATATTACAAAATGGTTATCTGAGACTTCCATGAGATCAGCAGTAAAGCAAGTTTTCACCTTATGGGCATTGAATAACCATAAGTGTATTTACATATACGTGGTGTGTGACTGCGTTAAAATCCCTTGTGTAGATTGAGAAGGTTAAACAAAATGGAGTGAATAGACCAGCTTTGCTCAGAAGGGGGAACTGTCCTGTGGAGACTTCATCTCTGCATTCGGACTTGTAGCAGGAGGGGAATTAAAGCCACCTGTGTTTTCTTCAGTTCCAACAACTTTAGACTGGAGGGGGGGGAAAAAAAACAATCAGCAACATTGCTGCGCAGGCATCAGATGCGTTTAACAAATAAATACCCTACTATGACGACAGAGTGGAGTTTTACTGATCAGTTTAATTAACAGTCAATGATCGGGTGGGAAAGCAATCTGTAGGGCTTCACAGGGCGAAACCTGGACTCCCATCAATGGAACGCACAGCACAGCAAGGTCAACACAGCATGCACGGCTTTTAGCATTTTAGATCTGAGACTTAAAGAGGCTTCGCATTGACCAGCAGATGGCAATGTACGTGCAAGAACCAGGAAACGTGGAGGCCATTTTGTATACAGTCTTCGCAGTTGTGGCTTTGTCGGGCCAGTTAAGTTTCTCGGCCTGACGTTGTGCACGCAGCAGGGGGCATTTTGAATGCGACATTTAAATGACGCTCATGGAAAGGAAGACAGGTTGAGAAGTATCGGTGGCGTATTTTCCGACCGAGCTTGACGTCACCAATTATATTTGATAGCACCAACGAACGTTTGACTCAGGGTGCATGCGGATTGTTGAGGGTTAGAGAGTTCACCGCATTTGGAGAACAAGCTTAAATGATTGCCACTGTGTGCCTTTGTTGCTCTGGTTATAAATTGGGATTCGTTGAAACAAGATTTATTCAAAAGTGCAACTTACGAAGCCAGATTTTCTCACGTCCCAGGAAAGTGTCTGGTCTCTGATTGTTGAAAGGGTAATAATATATGGAGGGAGAAATGGAGAGGGGTGGTGGGTGGGGGTGGGGGTGGGGGGGGGGGCGCGGGAAGAGAAAGAGAGGAACACCACAAGGAAACAATTTGGCTAACCCAAAGGTCAGAGGTACATGGCTAAGTTCAGACCGGTATTTGAATCAAGGAGATAAGTTTCTCCCACGGAAGAGTGCAACGTTTCAGATCAAAATATTCTGTACATTTCCCCAGGAGTTTCATTCTCGTTCGTACCATTTGTAAAACCGCAAAATGGACTAACATGCTCAACGGTCCAGGTGGCTGAGAATTAAATGGCACAGAGTATTCTAAACTATAGTAGTTATGAAAGATACTCCGTCACAAACAAAATACTAGAATCTAGATAATGAACATCAGCACTGACTAAAACCAAAAAGTTCCTTCCTTGATTAGATGACACAAACAGTTACGACAATGTAAGGAAAACAAACCATGCTCCTATATTTATTTTGATGTTCCATCAGAATCTGTCTTCCAGTCAACAAGCAGGATTTTTTAAAAAAAAATGCAACCTCACATTCGATTTCATTGCTTACCTTTAAATTTTCAACTGTGCCTTCAAATGACTTAAAGGTCGGTGTGTTCCTGAAATCAAAACATTAGCCAAATATCTATGAATCTCGGAAATGTTAGCTTAGCAATGCTGCTATCGAACATAACGGCGGCATAATTCATAAAAATTAGGAACATACTAGAATCCTATTAGAAGGATTACGCAAACACAATTGACATTTTTAGACATGTGCTGGGATGTACATTGTAGCAATCCTTTAAAGAAACTTCAAACAGTATTTTTAATTAAATGCAAACATGGCTAGTACTGTATTTACAACCGTAGAGCAGTCTCATTATAAGGAAACCAGTTCTGAAATCAGTGTTATAATAAATTACCTCATAGCAGGCATGCTTATCGAGTGACGTATGGAGTAACTGCTACTTGGAAGCATTAAAAAATGAAGTAATCCATGTTATAATTGTGCATGTAAGGTATTAATAGGCACAAACACTTGAAAATACTTCTTCTGTGGACAGGAAAGTAACGTACAAATGGAAATATAAAGATCAAAGTTAAGCAAAACAAGAAAGTGCAACGAAAGAATAGAACGGTGCAAGTACTGTTAGTTTTGAAAAATCTCAAGAGGCCTCGACTAATTACTATAATATAACGCTAATGTTTACAGTACTCTCAGTTCATTCACTGGTAATGTCACCAGTTCCCAAACAACCTAAATAGAAAAAAATGTGCTCCAATAACTTTTTCTAAATGGACTTTATGAGAAAGATTATAAATAGCCATTCCTCACCAAGAGAGCATGAAGGCCACTTTCGGGAAAAGTCGTTTGTGTGTTCCATCAAGGAAGCAATTCATTGCAAAACACATGTAGGAAAGGAGCTTGCTTCGCTGTTGGGAGTACGACATTTGGGAAGTCAGACAGAAGTGAAACCACTCAATTTTCAGTCCCTGATGTACCACATCAGTTGAGTGGCTCATGAGAAGTGCTTCTTTGGAAGTTGACTTTCCATATCAGGTGGTTTACATTGCAGAACCACCTGGAGCAGCAGAGGAGAGCCTAATAACGCTCCGCTACGCTCCTGGTCAGATAGTTATGAACTTTAGAATTGTAATCAATTTTAAAAAGTAGAACCAATATACGTAGTAACTTAGCAGAAATGGCAAGGTGGAACAAGTCATCGAAAACTACTACAATTACTTTTGTGGAGTTCCCCATTTATTTCTGCTTCGGGGTCTGTACAATTGCTGAATAGAATTTAAAATAGTTTGTCCATCCTGCTCACTGCTTCATACCTGCCTCCTCTGCTCTTATTCTAAGGAACATCCTGACAAGAGTTAAGTCTTGGAAACGAAGGGGCTCATGTATGATAAGATGATTAAGGAATGGGTCATCATTCCTTAGAGCCCAAGAGGTTGGGGGATGAGGTTAAGTATTAAAAACCGTTTTTCATATTCGGAAAAATGACCTCCGAGCAGCTGATTACAAGAGGGCACTTGCAGCCGGGGAGAAAATCGTGCTCTCTCTCTCTGCCATGGTTTCTGTTCAACGCTCTCCGACTCCAAGCTTCAACTCAGGCAAACAAGATGCGGATAATAATTTAGAATTAAGCTTGCGTGAAAACTCCCTAATTATGTGAGGCATCTAAGCGCCCGAGAAAAGTTTGCCATTTTATGGATACAAAATAATCACATCACTGGCAATTTAACGGAGTCTCTACATCCTCAGAAATAGGCTAGACATTTAGCTTACCTAAAGGACTGAGATAAAGGGTGAAATCTGGAGAAAAAAAAGCCAACGAAAGCAATAACAAAAAGGAAAGGTAGATCAGCTAGAGAAGTCAAAATCCAAACCACCAAACTATATCGTCTTACACTACAGAAGAAAACAGCAAAAAAAAAACATTTATACCACTCATCAACTTTTCATGAAATGTAAATTCAGAATCATGAAAATCCCGTAATCATGAAGACATCGTGAATGGGAAGCTTCCCGACAAGGGAACAACTCTGCCTAGAGATGAAAATTCTGTTAACACGGCATTTGATGTATTCTAATACTTGGAAATTCAACATAGGTTTTTTTCGCCCCCATTAATCATTCCGTGATGAAAAACAAAACAACAAAACAAGGATTAGAATATTAGAAGTGTAAACAAGTATGCACTACACCACTTCAAGCTAAACGTGGAATAGAATCCAAATAAAATAGTTTCCACAAACATGCAGGCAAAACATACAAGCAGGAAACGTACAATATAGTATAGACTCTGTTCACACGAGCACTTCTTAAAAAAAACATACATGAACATATTCAGAGAACATATTCATGCCACAACTTCCTATTTTAAAAATTCTCAAAATGAAACCGGAAAAGTGTTTAATGTTAAATAACAGACTCATTTAAAATGGGGGGGTGGGGGGAATGAGAAAACTATAAAAATGTCTACATATTTGTAAAGGAGGTGAGAAAAAGAATATATATTGACCATTCGTTAACTTAACATTACCTTTCGGGTTTAACCACAAGGCAACTGATAGGATATATGCTTGAGAAGCATTTCGGTATTGACATAAGGTTCTATAAAAAAATGCAAAGATCTTGCATTTAGACAATATTACTACATTTAATGAGTCACCTAAAAGCTTTAATCAATACTTGGTTTGTGGACAGCATTTAAATTGAGTTCCCCAGCAAAATCAAGAGAAGATAGTCTCCAAATCAATTGGTTTTACCATATGATCTTCCTTGAATGGCTAACTAAAATGACCCCAGCCATAAAGGTCTGATGTGAACAGAGACTGAACGAATACTTACCTCCCATCATCTGCTTCGCACTGCACAACAATTATATACTGTACCTCAGTCAAGCAGTAAAATGTCATCTAAATAAATCCAGTTACTTATAGCAGGCTAGGTTCCTCTTTAGCTAGTTAATATCAAAGTTAGGTTGATGTCAGAGTCATACACGTGGGAAATGTGCACAATATAAAGCTAGGCATGCAGAATTAGCAGCCCTAAATATGAACAAGTTTTGAAGCAGAAACAAAGCATCCGAAAATGAATCAGTCTATTGATTTACACAGCATCCATTAAAAGCAATTACAAACAAGCTGGCGCTAATTCTTGGCTTGACAACAAGTCTCATGTATGGCTTCCTAACAAAGCCTGCCCGCAAATAAGTCAGGTGAGTTGGTTAGTCCAACAATATGACCAAGTCAAATTTCAGCTCTAGTTTTTTTTTAAAAGCCTCGAAGGATTAATACAAATCATCAACTCCCTCTCTCCTGCCCGCCTACCCCGCATCAATCTTCAGCACTTCCTATATCCCCATCAATTCACAATTCACACGTATAGCAAATTGAACAGTGGAGGATCATTTTCAATAGGCAAAGTTTCTTCACAATGTGGTAAGGTACCCATCAAAGGTAAATGGTGTTGGCCACTACCACAATTTAAACCTGCAATAATAAGATTTGGCTAACCCAGTTTCACCATTTGTTCATTTTCTGTTGATTAAACACTGCAACTTGCTCAAAATAAACAAAAAAAAAGCCCCAAAACACACTTCTGTTCTTTCAAGTGGTCACAACAGATAACGAATAGCTAAATTCCAAAACACCCAGAATTTATTGAATTCAAATATTTGACAACCCCACTCGAGACGAATGCAAATACAATCCAAACCAAACCATAAAAACCTTATAAGGGCAAACTTACTTCATGTCTTCCAGTTTCTTGCTAATAGCTGAGCTAACGTTTAGAAAAACAGCAGACGTCTTTTGTCCAGCTTGAGAAAGTGTTTCTTGAGTCTTCTTGTATCTACAGAAAAAAGAGTACAGGAGTTCACAAAAAGTTTAGTGATTACCTATCAATAAGGTCACTTGTCAAATGCAATAAACCTGATTTTTATAGTAGAATTGCAATATTCTGCATCGCACAGCACAAACCAGCTGGTGAACAACAGGGGGAAAAAAAACAAGTCATTTCGGCAGGACACCTGCTTTATGTGATACCTGCAGGAAAAAAACCTCAGGCACCAGAGCACAGCCAATTACAGGGAGAAATGTGTACACAAATTATCAGATTGGTGAAAGAACAAGAATAATGAGGCACTTCGTGTTAAAGGACTGATGAGGTCACAACAGCAGACAAGGCATCAACAGATTAGGTTTAGAAGTAGATTACAAGGCAGAAATCCAAAAGGGTTTGGGGACAGGTCAAACTGCAGAAGCTTCATCCGCCCCCTCCCTTTCCCCAGACTGAATTACTATTATTTCGCCCCTCCTTTTTCAGTTAATTATTTTCCTGTCGGGGTGGGAAAAGAGAGAGGAAAGAGGGGCTCTCTTTGGAGCTGAACTAGCTCCAAGGTGACATGTTTGACAACGGAATATTGGAATGGCGCCAGCCCTCTGCGACAGTCTCTAGTCCCGGTTCCCGAGCCAGGCAGGTCCACAGTATTCCAGGGCACTCTCTGCTGATGGCGGCACAGCCCAGCCAGCCTGGCGCATCAGCAGGACTTGGAAGGGCCGACCAGTCACTGGGGACAGGGAATCCTCCCACTCAGCTCCTGTTAATCCTACAAGCCAAAGCTCCACCAATTGGCCATGCTGCAATACTATTAAAAGCAATAAAGATACCACAAGTAGCTGAAAGCCAGGTCTCTTTGCAATCAAAAGTGCACTGCCCATCTGCTATGAAGAAGCAAAAGGTGGATTTAAAATATAAAATACATTAAATCTTCTGAGGCACCAACTGGTCTCAATTTGTCCCTCCTCCAACTATATAAGCTCTATATTATACAAGCTCGTGTTGCTTGCAGTGGACGCAGACACAAGTCATTACAACGCTCGTTCTATTCTGAGTGAGTTGGCCTGGGGCCAGAGGGAAGAAAAGGAAGAGTAGATATCCATTAATCAGGGCCTTAAGGAAGGAACCAAAGTCTAAGATGACAGTTCTACCTACAGTGATGCTATAGAATTTTAATCCAGGACAATGACAAATAGACCCACAGACCAGAAGCAAAGCATAACATAAGAGGCAACAACAGTATACAGGCAGCTGCCAATCTCAAACAAAGAATACACAAAATAGCATTGTAAAAGCTTTTAGACAACGTAAATATCATTTGCAATCATTTCACTCCAAACTGTTCCACATTTAATGCAAGTTTGCTTTAAATTTACAATGGAAGAATGCTTCAGCTATAGACAAACTAATATTCGTTCTCATGAAGTTCTTTTTATTGGGATATTTTCACTTATAAACACTAGCTTCAACCAAAGGATCCAATATGGAATGTAGATTGACACATAGACAGACGCACAGACAGACATTTCATCTTTATCTATCTCTATCTGGGAGGACTGTTAAATATGTACACCTTGCATATTGCATTGTGGTGTGTGGAGTGAATACTGCTGAGATAACCTAAGAAAGGAATCACAGAGATGTGCAAAGGAATAAACTGCCTTCCTTGCAAAGGAAATAGTAATTAGAGGGAAAAAATTCCTTCACTACCAGGGATCAATTCCCTTTTCAAATGCACAGGACAAGGTTAAATAGGTCATACCCTTTGGACGGAGGAGAGGACATCTAATCCAGCATCAACAAGAAGCTGAATAAGGAAGATAATCAAAATTGAAGGGTAAATTTGTTCTGTTTGCCATGGTACATCTTAACACATACTTGTGGTTTTTAATGCTTCTTTTACACCTTCTTCATGTAAGTACAATACCTCTAACGCTGCAGAACAAATGATTCAAAACAGAGAAAATGAACAGAAACTAAAGAGGCAAAAAAATAAACTCTTATGGTTATCACATATATGTCAGGATACACAGCATATCACCAGCACAAGATTGCTTGCTGACAAACAGAAACAAACAACAGCTTCCCTAGCCAACAGTTTCAATTTTATGATATATTATATATTATTTAATTTTGATGAAAGGTCATACCTGAAATATGAACCTAATTTTCTCTTTCAAATGCTTATTGATTCACTGTGGATTCTTAACGTTTTTATATTTCATAAATCCCAAAATGTTACCTTTACTTTAATATTTATTCAGTCATCGGTTTATCTTTCCTCTGGCCTAGTTTTAGAAAGTGAGGGAAGATTAAAATAAATCTCCTAAAAACATTCACAAAAGACAATTAGAAAATTGGTGTCTATTAATGGCTTAACAGGGTGCAGTCAGCACTAACTAAACAGGAAAAAACATCCCACAAATTTGAGCCGGGCAATTGCTGATAATGGACCATTTACTAAAGTGTCAACATGTAAAGCAAAGCTTTTCCATACCATTAAAGAAGGATCCAATAAGATTAGCATTACTTAGTATTCCCAAGTCACGTAATATTCTGTTCTTCCGAAGTGCGGCATGTGATTGGTGAAGTTACCTTCACCCATTACTAAAAACGAAGGCACATAAACAAAGATGGAAGAAGGCAGGCTGCTATTGAACCTTTGCTAATTAAATTGCATGTCAGAGAAACTCATTCGGGTGAGAGACTTACATCGGACATCTGGCTTTTCGTAATCTTTGCTGGTAAGAATTAGGTGTTCTGGGACGCTACCCTATGTGAAGGGCGCTATATAAATGCAAGTTGTTGTTGTTAATACTGTGATTCAATTAACAATATAGAAACAACAACAACAACAACATACAACAAATTACATTTGTATAGCGCTTTTCATGTCGAGAGCTCGTCCCGAGGTGGTGGACAGTTAGGAATTTGCCCCCGAGCAGGGAGAAGGTGGAGGGCAAGGAAGTTAAGGGTAGGAGAATGACTGAAGGCACCGTGGAAGAGGAGGGTCTTGAGATGTGTCTTGAAGGAGGCAAGGGAGGGAGCAAAGCGAAGCGACATCACTCCATTTTACTAAATTCCTGTCTCATTCAATGGCACAAACACTCCCACATTAAGAGTTTCCCATCCCCAGCACAGAAATGCAGAGGCCAACCTAAGCACCCTCTTTACCACCTCAGGCAAGATCAGCATGACAGCATTCACCAGGAATCTAATCGGACCTCCCCAATTATTACAATTTGCTAGGCTGAATGACCCCCAAGTTATACCATGGCCCATTTACCCATCAGAGGAGCTCCACTTTTGCTTAAATGTTAATTTCATGCAGTATTTCACAAATTGTTAGTAAACAAGGTTCTCTGAATACATGCAAGATTTCACCCAACCTAGTTGCACCTAATTTTTAACCATTGAAAAACCACTCACACTTCAGACTGAGTTATTGTCTTATTCAAATCTTCAACTGTTCCAGATGCTCTTGTATAACTATAAGCAAAAGAAAATTTAGTAGATAAGAAAAATGCACTCATGAATTTTAATTGGGCACCGTAAATTGACATGGCAACGTAAGCTGCTCACTACAGTCATTAAACATTATTTGGTTGCTTGGTTGCCAGTCAACTATTCCAACAGGCTCTTTACCTTTACGTTAACTAGTTCGTGTATATGAAGTAACCGTGCAATGTACATTTAGTTCATCGCTGCAACTCCAAAATTTGTTGGGTGACATGAACATTTTTTTTTAAACAAGCGATGTGGTTTGACATGTTGTACAGACAAATTATTTAATATGAAACAGATCACTAACTATTGAATGCACAAACACAACTTTAACCAGATGCAAAAATAAACCTTGCCAATTTGTACAATACGAATGCTAATAATTTCAATAACAATTCCGAGTTCAATCACTAAATATTGCATTACAAACATAGGAAGCCCAGTCCAATGAGCATCTGTTGATTGCTTCAGATCTGCTTCATCTGATCCATTGGACCAGTCAGCCTCCAAAAACCACTGCATTCTGCTGACACATATTGGTCTCATTAAGGATTTAAATTTTGAGCTCTAATTAGCTAATTAATCTTCCCCTTTAACACAACTTGTACAGTCCATTTACACGGCACCGCGCAAAAAAGAGAGGGAAGTTTATCCTGGTGTCCTGGCCAACAATCCACCAGCTAGAATTGATCATCGACCATTATAGCTGTGTGTGGGCGCTCAGGACTTCTCAAATACAAGGATTATTAAAATCCCAAAAGATTTTAATAATCTGTGGAATTCACAGAATTACGTTTTTTGAAAAATGAAAAGCTTTTATTGCCATGGGGGGGGGGGGAAAAAAAGCATACTATTTCGGTTTTCAAATAGTTTTTGTAGGCTGTCATCCACATTAGATTTCAACATTTCAGCCTGAAATCTTTTTTCTCTGAGGGGGTGAATGCAGAGGACCAAACAAAAGAGTTAACATCTGACAGTATATATGCTCCTAGGAATACCAATTTTTTTTTTGATAGATGTAGCACAGCAGAGGCTAATTCTGCAGGGAAATAATTCTAGACTACTAAAATCAGCACTTAGCAATATCTGCAGATATATGAAAAAACCACCCTTTTGGATCAGATACACAGAATGCTACTGATCTGTACTGTAAGATACCTGACACCACAAATCACACAGGGTGGGGGGGCTTTATTGAAATATTCCACTGCAATATGGATTTGAGAAAATGTAGGCCAGTATTTCTGGAATTATTTTCAGACAGAGAAAAAGGATGATGGCTCCTGGTCACACAAGCTGAAGCCCAATTTATGCTGCCTGTTTGCTGGTAAATTATTATTAAAACCATACAAGAGATTTGAAACCAAAAGCTTTGTACAGACCATTCTTAACAAATTCCAACTGATGGTTCAAATCTTAAAAATGGAAAATTGTGCAAATTGTACAAGTATCTGTGCCAGGCTCCGGATTTCCTTTACATAACAGACTATTCCACTGTCTAATCCACACAGTGAAAATTAATAAGAAAAAAGGGCAATGTGATTGTTAATAGGAGAAAAACTAAATCTACAGAAAACATCTGCACAAAGTATCTCCACTGGTTATAGTATAACTCCTGTACAAGGAGTTCTTGCTTTTAACACATTCACAATAACTTATTTTCTCGAGTGTTAAGTCGCCCTGTATCATGCATTTAAATAGAGGTACCACACAGTTTATTTTAACATGTAACGTTGAGTAACCTCATCGCTTAAGCCACCAGGACTTTTGGCTATGACACCACTTAAGACAAATTGAGTAACTGCAGAATCCACCGTAGATGTAAGTTACATTTGCGACCATTTTCATTGACCGTAATGGCAATAACAGAACTGCTAAACAAATAAAACTTAGCAAAACAAAGAAGCTGAGGGAGAGGAGGGAGAAAGTAGGCGTTTTAAAAAAAGGTGCAGTGATTAAGTTAAAGCAATTATGTAACTTCCAACCAGTAACCAAACAATTCCAACCACAGTAAAACAATGCACTTTACTGCCCTATATAAATTCACTGAACATTAAAAGAACACAAAGGCAAAACGGTTTGTTGTAACCGAAATGTTAATTAATCTCAAATTGTATACCTGCAGTGACAGAATGGGTTAACATTTGTTATCCTTACCACCATGAATCTTTACCATCACTTCTAACCCTGTCAGCTGGGAAGAACATCTCAGCTGGCTGCAAAGCTCTTATTTGAAATGAGTCAACTCGACATCTACAGGCACTGCTCCACAGTGTATAACAGCAAATAAACAAAAACAACAACAAAATTACATTTATAGAGCGCCTTTCACGTCGGGAGGACGTCCCAAGGCACTGAACAGTCAGGGGTCAGGACCTGAGCATGGAGGAGGGGTGGGGGAAGGCAGAGAGGTGTAAATTAATTCACATTAAGTTTAGCAATCTCGCCAGAAAAGCTCTGATGGAGCTGTTGCGAAAAATGTTATTGGTTTAGTATTGTAAGGATTGCTTAACTACATTTGGCACATTATTGGGTTCGAAGAGAAGGAGGTTTCCTTTCATTTGCTTGTGTTACACTCCAGCTGAAATGCACCCTGTGTCCTTCACTTTCACAAGGACATTCAGAGAAATTGGAAATGTAACAAATCTGACGCAATGGGAAAGCATTTGTTTCGCTTGAAAGGTTGGTAGATAAGTCTTGCATCTACATCAGTCTGCAGCAGTGATATCCCTCTAAACATATGCCGAACAATAGTATTTCTCAGATTAACTCGAATACATTTGTCGAAGCCTTGAGACTGTTTGTCTACGTAAACATAAAATGTTCCAGTCTTGTGTTCCAAGTACTTACGCGTTAGACGTTTGCACATTCTGCCAGCTTTTGCTAAAATTGTCCTTCAGCTCATTAAATGGAGTCAACCCCAACTTCCTTTTGATCTCAGAGGCATGTTTTTCTTTGGCAAATAACACCTGTCGAAGTGTTGATATTTCTTCTTCCACCTAGGAAAAAAACCCAGCAAAATTGTAATCAACAATTGCATTTTCAACATTCATGTTATTAGCCAGTTATTAGCAAAATATTATTGCCAGTTATAAGCAAATATTGATTTCATTGGGTTCATACTGTATAGGCACAATGGAAACTAACATATTGATAAAGTTTTAAAAACTTTTATAGTTAACCTTCGGCGTCTACAGCTTCTGTACTATTTTCCAAATTCCCGGTGCCAGCAAAAATGATAAGACACATTCATACATATTAAAATAACTGCACAACTTTGAGAGATATTTGCTTACTTAGAAATCTGAAAACAATACAAGAAAATCAGCCTGAAATTCAAGAGAACACAGCAAGTGAAGGCATGAGGTGGGTTATGAACAGTTTGCTTCGACGATTCTATTCATGACCCCAAAAAGGTAATGAGTCACATTTTTACAAAACTAAAACTAAAGTTGTAGAGGTTTGAAGAATAGTCTTACTTCCTTCACTACTTTTGTACAAGCAGGACATGTTTTTTCCTCTCCATTCAATTTCCTCCCATGTCATTAATCATTCACAAGGAAACAAGACAGAACATCAAAACATATCCTTGTTTTAATGTTCAAGAAGCTGTTAACACACCAACCCACTGCCATATTGGGTGGAAACAAACAAATTGATTCAGATAGTGGCTTTTTCCCCAACTGTAAAGACATTCCATTGTCCATCTGTTTGAACACGAAAGTCACACCCATCATGATGCAACAACACCTTTGAGATAAGTTTAAAAACATCATTCACTTATCTCGGGGCTAAAACAAGTAGTTCATCGATATCTAAACAATATTAAAAAGTAAAAACTTCCTAAGTATAAACATCAGTATGTTTTACAACACTGACTGCATGATTCACCTTGATTTCTTCTTTTAAAAACGGTTACAAAATGTACGTTAAACACAGGAACAATAAACAATTTTAGTTACTGACGGTGTACAGCATCACAATCCCAAGCAGTGTCTTGTTACTGCTCAACAACCAGGATACCAGGAGAAATTCCCTTTCCTTTCCAGACAATAGAATACAATCTTCAATATCCACTAATTAGGCAGGACCTTGATGATTCATTCAATAGAGGACACCTTCACAACACAGCAATTACCCCCTGAAATAATGATGCACAATCCAAAGCATGGGTGTGTTAATAAATGTCTTTATTCTCAACTCACTCTCAATGCATGCCAATCCATTAACCCTAACCACACCTACGTGTGTCCCACTCCCAGTGTCATTTTGCACTTCCTGTTTTTTATCTTATTGGCTTTTCCATTCTTAATTGACTTTTTTTATTTCTGAAAGGGATAGTACACTGAAGTGTCAGTTGGGAGTATGAGCTTGAATTTCGTAATAGGCTGGAAGACACAACCTTGTAACCCAGCGGCAAGAGTTGTACCAACTGAGTCAAGCCGCCAAAAACACAGGCGTACTGAGATTTGTATGTACCACAAATTTCTTCCAACTATACCTTTACGAGTTCTATCTTCAGCTCCTCACTTTCGGCTTCAGATAGTCCTCCAAGTGCACCCACAGATGCAGCTGCGTCCACAGGCACATCAGTCATGTTTTCGGACATTAGACCTTTGTTAGGAGAGTTAAGGTTGATATCTGTCACAGGCAATCAGAGCAAACAACGAGTAAACAGCCAGCAAAAGAAGCAATTTATAATAGGAGCCCAAGCACAAATAATAAAATAAAATAATAATCCTTGCATTTGATATAGCGCCTTATCACGCATTCGAGACGTCTCAAAGCACTTCACAGAATATACTGTAAAGTGAATTTACTGTATATTTTTGGGGCGAAAATATTGCAAAGCAACTAACTGACCTATTGCTATAAACACAGCAGCTAACCAGGATATTCAAACAGCTATCTATAGTTGCCTTTCTTCAAGGACACAAGCTCATTGTGGTTAAGCACAGTTGACTTATGGGTACATTCCTAATTGGAGGGAGTGGGGGAAAACTGTACAATCCTAATTGTCTAAATGTAAAATGTAGATTTAAAATTGATAATTTGGGGGCAAAATTTGGAATGACAAGTGGCAGGATTACTCATATGAATGGTTCAGTAAATTAGTAACCTTTAAAGCGTCTGAAGAAAGGAAAGTTGTTTTTCTCAACATCCGTAATGACCTAAATCAGTGGTTCAGCTATTTCTCATTGGAATCTGTATATAGGGCAAAACAAAGCTGCATTTCCGACTCATGAACACAAACCTTTTGAAGATTAAACAAGACAAAAGGTCTTGGCCTCTTTAAAACTATATACCTGCAGTTTCCCAGCGCTTTGGGACGCCCTCCCAACGTGAAAGGCGCTATGCAAATCTAATCTTGTTGTTGTTGTTTCATAATTTTCTCTGAAGTACGTTTTATGTGCCTTTCACTTTTCAATACTCTTCCCTCCAAGATTGGGTGCACTCGCGTTGCTGCAAAACTAAATTTAGCGTCCTACTCTACAACTCGGTTTGCCATAGTATCTTTCGCCGCAGGATAACTTACCACTCGACTCCATTCACAGATTTGATTTAAAATTCACAAAACACTGCATCGCATATTGTGAACCGAAGCCACGCTTCCAGTTTGTAGATTGCCTTTCACAGCTCAAAAAAAAACGTTAATGCTATTCAGCGCGATCACAACTTTTTTTTTTTGCAAATTAAGAACCGTGCTGTTTGAATGTGGCAATTTCAACAGCACAAACTTCCAACTATTAAATGATCAGTTGCTTTTTTTATTCTTAAAAAGGTACAGTATTTGGCGCAAAGTGCCAATTCCTGAAGCGCAACTAATTCGGCTCTCCCTTGATCTCCTAACAGCTGCAATTTTGAAATGAAGCGAAGTTCGAAAAGGCAGTAATGGCCATTTTTCAAACCCTGCAGACTTTGGGAGAGACATGATATCTTTGTACCTCAACTGACACTCACCTTACACTCCCTTCTCAAAAGGTTGAAGACCTTGGGAGACGTGATAACTTTGTCCCTCAACTGACACTCACCTTACACTCTCTTCTCAAAAGATTTATTTTTTAACGGGGTGGGGGGGGGGGGGTTGGGGGGGAGAGAGGGAGGAGAATCAAGATGTTAAGACTTACGAGCACCCAAAAAAACACCATCGTACTTGTGATCAGCATGCACAGGAACATTTGGTCATTTCCTGGCTCATGTGGCTGAAGGCCACAAAACATTGTGTATGCATTCAGTGAGCCATTAAGCGCAGAGACCTTTATTGTTCTGAGCACATTCGCACAGTGCATTTTAAAAGACTAATCATGTTGGTTTAGAACAGAAAACAGTTGGTCTGGTCCCAGAATATCGCATTTTTAAAAAAAAACTACAACCTAATGACACTTTTGCCTGACTTACTTGAAGCTTCCAAATGAAAAATGGTATGGAGAGGTTTATACAAAAAAAAAGGTTCAGATGTATGCAGAGAAGATTAACCAGTTGTCATCGGTTTGAGACAATTATTTGTCTTTATACATTACGCTAAAAAAAAATCCTAGCCATTATAGTTCCAGCGATCTATTGGAATTTATATATCTATGGACCAACAGGTTATTCTACATTGTTAGTTTGTGCACTGTGGTGCCTCAAAAGAGCTACTGGGCATTAGGATGATTTTTACTGTAACACCAACCTCAACTCACTGAAAAAAAGGTTCTTTATTTGTATTATTTTCTCTCTTTATTCTTAAAAAGGCACAGCATTTGGCGCAAAGTGCCAATTCCTGAAGCACAGCTAATTTGGTGCTTCTCAATTTCGCCTATTTTGATTATGTCTAACCCCAAGTCTTCTTTCTCCAATTCTCCGCCCATGTCAACCTGTCAAAATGTTTTTTCTTCACGAGCAATTACATTGAAACAAGGGAAAAGGGAAGCACAAACAAACATACAAAAAGTACACAAGCGGGCTATAAGCGTTTGGAAATACTGCCTTCGTTTGTGGCAACACAAGAGCGGTTGGATTTCACGTTGACACAGGTTTTAGAAAACAACAAAATTCCAACGCCAGTTCCATCAACGCATTGTTGGTAAACAACAACCTGCATGAGATTAACACCGCCCTCTCGCAGGAAAGAGGAACGAAGCAAATACGAAGGCAGCACTGGTTATGCGCTGGAAACTAAATATTTACTTCCAACCGATGCTCCCGCTTAAAACAAGTAACGATTGGGTTAGAGGGGGAAGGGGTGGGGGGGGGGGGGGGAAATATATATAACATCATGCTTAATGGACCAGTGCCTAAAAATCCTTCCTCCCCGAGAGGGGCGTTGGTGGGGGGGGGGGAAAAGAAATTGCACGCTGTGAAATGAACATTTCGGCGTGAAGGCGCAACTGGCCGCCGCGTTCGGCCCGCAGAACACACAGTCACTACACTTGACAGTGCCTCCCGAGGATCGGTCTTATTGGACGTACGTGAAGGGCGGGGAACCCCCCCTTTTTTTTAAAACAATAAATTCAACAACACACAGTCCAACAAAGCGTAAAAGGGGAAAAAGTTGCGACGAAACGGCTGCGGTGTCGGTCAATCTGAGCCCCTTTTCCTGTGGGTGACACTCACGCAGACCCGAAAGATAATAAATGTCTATATTATATATAAATATAAATTATATATATATAACACACACACAGAGAGAGAGAGAGAGCAATTAACACCACAGCTGAGTGAGGCCTGTGAGGGTGTTGTCTACCCCCCGAGGCCTGGATTGACTTCACTGACTGCCTGTGTGTGTGTGTCCTTGTGCTCTGGCCACTCCCCCCTCCCCCACCCTACCCCCCCACTTGCCCCCCTCCCAACACCCCATTCCCTCCCAACACCCCATTCCCCCCCAACACCCCATTCCCCCCAACACCCCATTCCCCCCCCAACACCCCATTCCCCCCCCAACACCCCATTCCCCCCCAACACCCCATTCCCCCCAACACCCCATTCCCCCCAACACCCATTCCCCCCCCAACACCCCATTCCCCCCCAACACCTGGTGTCGTAATTGCTCTCTCTCTCTCTCTGTGTGTGTGTATATATATATAATTTATATTTATATATAATATACACATTTATTATCTTTCGGGTCTGCGTGAGTGTCACCCACAGGAAAAGGGGCTCAGATTGACCGACACCGCAGCCGTTTCGTCGCAACTTTTTCCCCTTTTACGCTTTGTTGGACTTGTGTTGTTGAATTTATTGTTTTAAAAAAAAGGGGGGGGTTCCCCGCCCTTCACGTATGTCCAATAAGACCGATCCTCGGGAGGCACTGTCAAGTGTAGTGACTGTGTGTTCTGTGGGCGAACGCGGCGGCCAGTTGCGCCTTCACGCCGAAATGTTCATTTCACAGCGTGCAATTTCTTTTCCCCCCCCCCCACCAACGCCCCTCTCGGGGAGGAAGGATTTTTAGGCACTGGTCCATTAAGCATGATGTTATATATATTTCCCCCCCCCCCCCCCACCCCTTCCCCCTCTAACCCAATCGTTACTTGTTTTAAGCGGGAGCATCGGTTGGAAGTAAATATTTAGTTTCCAGCGCATAACCAGTGCTGCCTTCGTATTTGCTTCGTTCCTCTTTCCTGCGAGAGGGCGGTGTTAATCTCATGCAGGTTGTTGTTTACCAACAATGCGTTGATGGAACTGGCGTTGGAATTTTGTTGTTTTCTAAAACCTGTGTCAACGTGAAATCCAACCGCTCTTGTGTTGCCACAAACGAAGGCAGTATTTCCAAACGCTTATAGCCCGCTTGTGTACTTTTTGTATGTTTGTTTGTGCTTCCCTTTTCCCTTGTTTCAATGTAATTGCTCGTGAAGAAAAAACATTTTGACAGGTTGACATGGGCGGAGAATTGGAGAAAGAAGACTTGGGGTTAGACATAATCAAAATAGGCGAAATTGAGAAGCACCAAATTAGCTGTGCTTCAGGAATTGGCACTTTGCGCCAAATGCTGTGCCTTTTTAAGAATAAAGAGAGAAAATAATACAAATAAAGAACCTTTTTTTCAGTGAGTTGAGGTTGGTGTTACAGTAAAAATCATCCTAATGCCCAGTAGCTCTTTTGAGGCACCACAGTGCACAAACTAACAATGTAGAATAACCTGTTGGTCCATAGATATATAAATTCCAATAGATCGCTGGAACTATAATGGCTAGGATTTTTTTTAGCGTAATGTATAAAGACAAATAATTGTCTCAAACCGATGACAACTGGTTAATCTTCTCTCATACATCTGAACCTTTTTTTTTGTATAAACCTCTCCATACATTTTTCATTTGGAAGCTTCAAGTAAGTCAGGCAAAAGTGTCATTAGGTTGTAGTTTTTTTTTAAAAATGCGATATTCTGGGACCAGACCAACTGTTTTCTGTTCTAAACCAACATGATTAGTCTTTTAAAATGCACTGTGCGAATGTGCTCAGAACAATAAAGGTCTCTGCGCTTAATGGCTCACTGAATGCATACACAATGTTTTGTGGCCTTCAGCCACATGAGCCAGGAAATGACCAAATGTTCCTGTGCATGCTGATCACAAGTACGATGGTGTTTTTTTGGGTGCTCGTAAGTCTTAACATCTTGATTCTCCTCCCTCTCTCCCCCCCAACCCCCCCCCCCCCACCCCGTTAAAAAATAAATCTTTTGAGAAGAGAGTGTAAGGTGAGTGTCAGTTGAGGGACAAAGTTATCACGTCTCCCAAGGTCTTCAACCTTTTGAGAAGGGAGTGTAAGGTGAGTGTCAGTTGAGGTACAAAGATATCATGTCTCTCCCAAAGTCTGCAGGGTTTGAAAAATGGCCATTACTGCCTTTTCGAACTTCGCTTCATTTCAAAATTGCAGCTGTTAGGAGATCAAGGAGAGCCGAATTAGTTGCGCTTCAGGAATTGGCACTTTGCGCCAAATACTGTACCTTTTTAAGAATAAAAAAAGCAACTGATCATTTAATAGTTGGAAGTTTGTGCTGTTGAAATTGCCACATTCAAACAGCAGGTTCTTAATTTGCAAAAAAAAAAAGTTGTGATCGCGCTGAATAGCATTAACGTTTTTTTTTGAGCTGTGAAAGGCAATCTACAAACTGGAAGCGTGGCTTCGGTTCACAATATGCGATGCAGTGTTTTGTGAATTTTAAATCAAATCTGTGAATGGAGTCGAGTGGTAAGTTATCCTGCGGCGAAAGATACTATGGCAAACCGAGTTGTAGAGTAGGACGCTAAATTTAGTTTTGCAGCAACGCGAGTGCACCCAATCTTGGAGGGAAGAGTATTGAAAAGTGAAAGGCACATAAAACGTACTTCAGAGAAAATCATGAAACAACAACAACAAGATTAGATTTGTATAGCGCCTTTCACGTTGGGAGGGCGTCCCAAAGCGCTGGGAAACTGCAGGTATATAGTTTTAAAGAGGCCAAGACCTTTTGTCTGTGATTCTTGTTTAATCTTCAAAAGGTTTGTGTTCATGAGTCGGAAATGCAGCTTTGTTTTGCCCTATATACAGATTCCAATGAGAAATAGCTGAACCACTGATTTAGGTCATTACGGATGTTGAGAAAAACAACTTTCCTTTCTTCAGACGCTTTAAAGGTTACTAATTTACTGAACCATTCATATGAGTAATCCTGCCACTTGTCATTCCAAATTTTGCCCCCAAATTATCAATTTTAAATCTACATTTTACATTTAGACAATTAGGATTGTACAGTTTTCCCCCACTCCCTCCAATTAGGAATGTACCCATAAGTCAACTGTGCTTAACCACAATGAGCTTGTGTCCTTGAAGAAAGGCAACTATAGATAGCTGTTTGAATATCCTGGTTAGCTGCTGTGTTTATAGCAATAGGTCAGTTAGTTGCTTTGCAATATTTTCGCCCCAAAAATATACAGTAAATTCACTTTACAGTATATTCTGTGAAGTGCTTTGAGACGTCTCGAATGCGTGATAAGGCGCTATATCAAATGCAAGGATTATTATTTTATTTTATTATTTGTGCTTGGGCTCCTATTATAAATTGCTTCTTTTGCTGGCTGTTTACTCGTTGTTTGCTCTGATTGCCTGTGACAGATATCAACCTTAACTCTCCTAACAAAGGTCTAATGTCCGAAAACATGACTGATGTGCCTGTGGACGCAGCTGCATCTGTGGGTGCACTTGGAGGACTATCTGAAGCCGAAAGTGAGGAGCTGAAGATAGAACTCGTAAAGGTATAGTTGGAAGAAATTTGTGGTACATACAAATCTCAGTACGCCTGTGTTTTTGGCGGCTTGACTCAGTTGGTACAACTCTTGCCGCTGGGTTACAAGGTTGTGTCTTCCAGCCTATTACGAAATTCAAGCTCATACTCCCAACTGACACTTCAGTGTACTATCCCTTTCAGAAATAAAAAAATCAATTAAGAATGGAAAAGCCAATAAGATAAAAAACAGGAAGTGCAAAATGACACTGGGAGTGGGACACACGTAGGTGTGGTTAGGGTTAATGGATTGGCATGCATTGAGAGTGAGTTGAGAATAAAGACATTTATTAACACACCCATGCTTTGGATTGTGCATCATTATTTCAGGGGGTAATTGCTGTGTTGTGAAGGTGTCCTCTATTGAATGAATCATCAAGGTCCTGCCTAATTAGTGGATATTGAAGATTGTATTCTATTGTCTGAAAGGAAAGGGAATTTCTCCTGGTATCCTGGTTGTTGAGCAGTAACAAGACACTGCTTGGGATTGTGATGCTGTACACCGTCAGTAACTAAAATTGTTTATTGTTCCTGTGTTTAACGTACATTTTGTAACCGTTTTTAAAAGAAGAAATCAAGGTGAATCATGCAGTCAGTGTTGTAAAACATACTGATGTTTATACTTAGGAAGTTTTTACTTTTTAATATTGTTTAGATATCGATGAACTACTTGTTTTAGCCCCGAGATAAGTGAATGATGTTTTTAAACTTATCTCAAAGGTGTTGTTGCATCATGATGGGTGTGACTTTCGTGTTCAAACAGATGGACAATGGAATGTCTTTACAGTTGGGGAAAAAGCCACTATCTGAATCAATTTGTTTGTTTCCACCCAATATGGCAGTGGGTTGGTGTGTTAACAGCTTCTTGAACATTAAAACAAGGATATGTTTTGATGTTCTGTCTTGTTTCCTTGTGAATGATTAATGACATGGGAGGAAATTGAATGGAGAGGAAAAAACATGTCCTGCTTGTACAAAAGTAGTGAAGGAAGTAAGACTATTCTTCAAACCTCTACAACTTTAGTTTTAGTTTTGTAAAAATGTGACTCATTACCTTTTTGGGGTCATGAATAGAATCGTCGAAGCAAACTGTTCATAACCCACCTCATGCCTTCACTTGCTGTGTTCTCTTGAATTTCAGGCTGATTTTCTTGTATTGTTTTCAGATTTCTAAGTAAGCAAATATCTCTCAAAGTTGTGCAGTTATTTTAATATGTATGAATGTGTCTTATCATTTTTGCTGGCACCGGGAATTTGGAAAATAGTACAGAAGCTGTAGACGCCGAAGGTTAACTATAAAAGTTTTTAAAACTTTATCAATATGTTAGTTTCCATTGTGCCTATACAGTATGAACCCAATGAAATCAATATTTGCTTATAACTGGCAATAATATTTTGCTAATAACTGGCTAATAACATGAATGTTGAAAATGCAATTGTTGATTACAATTTTGCTGGGTTTTTTTCCTAGGTGGAAGAAGAAATATCAACACTTCGACAGGTGTTATTTGCCAAAGAAAAACATGCCTCTGAGATCAAAAGGAAGTTGGGGTTGACTCCATTTAATGAGCTGAAGGACAATTTTAGCAAAAGCTGGCAGAATGTGCAAACGTCTAACGCGTAAGTACTTGGAACACAAGACTGGAACATTTTATGTTTACGTAGACAAACAGTCTCAAGGCTTCGACAAATGTATTCGAGTTAATCTGAGAAATACTATTGTTCGGCATATGTTTAGAGGGATATCACTGCTGCAGACTGATGTAGATGCAAGACTTATCTACCAACCTTTCAAGCGAAACAAATGCTTTCCCATTGCGTCAGATTTGTTACATTTCCAATTTCTCTGAATGTCCTTGTGAAAGTGAAGGACACAGGGTGCATTTCAGCTGGAGTGTAACACAAGCAAATGAAAGGAAACCTCCTTCTCTTCGAACCCAATAATGTGCCAAATGTAGTTAAGCAATCCTTACAATACTAAACCAATAACATTTTTCGCAACAGCTCCATCAGAGCTTTTCTGGCGAGATTGCTAAACTTAATGTGAATTAATTTACACCTCTCTGCCTTCCCCACCCCTCCTCCATGCTCAGGTCCTGACCCCTGACTGTTCAGTGCCTTGGGACGTCCTCCCGACGTGAAAGGCGCTCTATAAATGTAATTTTGTTGTTGTTTTTGTTTATTTGCTGTTATACACTGTGGAGCAGTGCCTGTAGATGTCGAGTTGACTCATTTCAAATAAGAGCTTTGCAGCCAGCTGAGATGTTCTTCCCAGCTGACAGGGTTAGAAGTGATGGTAAAGATTCATGGTGGTAAGGATAACAAATGTTAACCCATTCTGTCACTGCAGGTATACAATTTGAGATTAATTAACATTTCGGTTACAACAAACCGTTTTGCCTTTGTGTTCTCTTAATGTTCAGTGAATTTATATAGGGCAGTAAAGTGCATTGTTTTACTGTGGTTGGAATTGTTTGGTTACTGGTTGGAAGTTACATAATTGCTTTAACTTAATCACTGCACCTTTTTTTAAAACGCCTACTTTCTCCCTCCTCTCCCTCAGCTTCTTTGTTTTGCTAAGTTTTATTTGTTTAGCAGTTCTGTTATTGCCTATTACGGGCAGCTGCACAACTTGAAAAGTGGTATGTCCCATCTATATGCTGAGTGAATCGGTAAGAGCGCAATGTACATCTACGGTGGATTCTGCAGTTACTCAATTTGTCTTAAGTGGTGTCATAGCCAAAAGTCCTGGTGGCTTAAGCGATGAGGTTACTCAACGTTACATGTTAAAATAAACTGTGTGGTACCTCTATTTAAATGCATGATACAGGGCGACTTAACACTCGAGAAAATAAGTTATTGTGAATGTGTTAAAAGCAAGAACTCCTTGTACAGGAGTTATACTATAACCAGTGGAGATACTTTGTGCAGATGTTTTCTGTAGATTTAGTTTTTCTCCTATTAACAATCACATTGCCCTTTTTTCTTATTAATTTTCACTGTGTGGATTAGACAGTGGAATAGTCTGTTATGTAAAGGAAATCCGGAGCCTGGCACAGATACTTGTACAATTTGCACAATTTTCCATTTTTAAGATTTGAACCATCAGTTGGAATTTGTTAAGAATGGTCTGTACAAAGCTTTTGGTTTCAAATCTCTTGTATGGTTTTAATAATAATTTACCAGCAAACAGGCAGCATAAATTGGGCTTCAGCTTGTGTGACCAGGAGCCATCATCCTTTTTCTCTGTCTGAAAATAATTCCAGAAATACTGGCCTACATTTTCTCAAATCCATATTGCAGTGGAATATTTCAATAAAGCCCCCCACCCTGTGTGATTTGTGGTGTCAGGTATCTTACAGTACAGATCAGTAGCATTCTGTGTATCTGATCCAAAAGGGTGGTTTTTTCATATATCTGCAGATATTGCTAAGTGCTGATTTTAGTAGTCTAGAATTATTTCCCTGCAGAATTAGCCTCTGCTGTGCTACATCTATCAAAAAAAAAATTGGTATTCCTAGGAGCATATATACTATCAGATGTTAACTCTTTTGTTTGGTCCTCTGCATTCACCCCCTCAGAGAAAAAAGATTTCAGGCTGAAATGTTGAAATCTAATGTGGATGACAGCCTACAAAAACTATTTGAAAACCGAAATAGTATGCTTTTTTTTTCCCCCCCCCCATGGCAATAAAAGCTTTTCATTTTTCAAAAAACGTAATTCTGTGAATTCCACAGATTATTAAAATCTTTTGGGATTTTAATAATCCTTGTATTTGAGAAGTCCTGAGCGCCCACACACAGCTATAATGGTCGATGATCAATTCTAGCTGGTGGATTGTTGGCCAGGACACCAGGATAAACTTCCCTCTCTTTTTTTGCGCGGTGCCGTGTAAATGGACTGTACAAGTTGTGTTAAAGGGGAAGATTAATTAGCTAATTAGAGCTCAAAATTTAAATCCTTAATGAGACCAATATGTGTCAGCAGAATGCAGTGGTTTTTGGAGGCTGACTGGTCCAATGGATCAGATGAAGCAGATCTGAAGCAATCAACAGATGCTCATTGGACTGGGCTTCCTATGTTTGTAATGCAATATTTAGTGATTGAACTCGGAATTGTTATTGAAATTATTAGCATTCGTATTGTACAAATTGGCAAGGTTTATTTTTGCATCTGGTTAAAGTTGTGTTTGTGCATTCAATAGTTAGTGATCTGTTTCATATTAAATAATTTGTCTGTACAACATGTCAAACCACATCGCTTGTTTAAAAAAAAATGTTCATGTCACCCAACAAATTTTGGAGTTGCAGCGATGAACTAAATGTACATTGCACGGTTACTTCATATACACGAACTAGTTAACGTAAAGGTAAAGAGCCTGTTGGAATAGTTGACTGGCAACCAAGCAACCAAATAATGTTTAATGACTGTAGTGAGCAGCTTACGTTGCCATGTCAATTTACGGTGCCCAATTAAAATTCATGAGTGCATTTTTCTTATCTACTAAATTTTCTTTTGCTTATAGTTATACAAGAGCATCTGGAACAGTTGAAGATTTGAATAAGACAATAACTCAGTCTGAAGTGTGAGTGGTTTTTCAATGGTTAAAAATTAGGTGCAACTAGGTTGGGTGAAATCTTGCATGTATTCAGAGAACCTTGTTTACTAACAATTTGTGAAATACTGCATGAAATTAACATTTAAGCAAAAGTGGAGCTCCTCTGATGGGTAAATGGGCCATGGTATAACTTGGGGGTCATTCAGCCTAGCAAATTGTAATAATTGGGGAGGTCCGATTAGATTCCTGGTGAATGCTGTCATGCTGATCTTGCCTGAGGTGGTAAAGAGGGTGCTTAGGTTGGCCTCTGCATTTCTGTGCTGGGGATGGGAAACTCTTAATGTGGGAGTGTTTGTGCCATTGAATGAGACAGGAATTTAGTAAAATGGAGTGATGTCGCTTCGCTTTGCTCCCTCCCTTGCCTCCTTCAAGACACATCTCAAGACCCTCCTCTTCCACGGTGCCTTCGTCATTCTCCTACCCTTAACTTCCTTGCCCTCCACCTTCTCCCTGCTCGGGGGCAAATTCCTAATTGTCCACCACCTTGGGACGAGCTCTCGACATGAAAAGCGCTATACAAATGTAATTTGTTGTTTGTTGTTGTTGTTTCTATATTGTTAATTGAATCACAGTATTAACAACAACAACTTGCATTTATATAGCGCCCTTCACATAGGGTAGCGTCCCAGAACACCTAATTCTTACCAGCAAAGATTACGAAAAGCCAGATGTCCGATGTAAGTCTCTCACCCGAATGAGTTTCTCTGACATGCAATTTTGATTAGCAAAGGTTCAATAGCAACCTGCCTTCTTCCATCTTTGTTTATGTGCCTTCGTTTTTAGTAATGGGTGAAGGTAACTT